TGGTCGCGGGTAACTTACAAGGTAGAATGTACAAACTTATTTTCTCCAATGTGAAGGGCAACCAAGAGAAACATTTCTGTGCACTAGGCAGGGCTGATTTGTGGCATGCGCGGTTAGGCCACCCTAGTGACGAGAATTTAAAGAAATTGATCAGACACGATATGGCTGATGGGTTAGACTTAACTATTAATGATTTCAAACAGACCTCTAAGACCTTATGTGAGAGTTGCATGACAGGAAAATTTACTCGCCTACCATTTGAAAAGGGGACATCAAAAAGAAGTACAAGAATTTTACAAAAAATTCATACAGATATTTTTGGGCCAGTCACACCAGAAAGACATGATGGAAAACGTTACTTTGTTTCTTTCATTGATGACTTTAGTCACTTTTCTCAAATTTATTTAATGTCTCATAAAAGCGAGGTCTATGATATTTTTGTTAAATATGAAGCAGAAGTTACTTGTAAGTTTCAGTCTAAAATTTCAAATTTAATTTGTGATAATGGAATAGAGTATCTCTCGGAAAAATTCAAAAAATTTTGTAACAATAAAGGGATTAGAATTACTCCTTCCATGACTTATACTCCACAACAAAATGGAGTTGCTGAGAGGCTAAATAGATCAATTCTAGAAAAAGCTAGATGCATACTGCATAATTCAAAAATGAGTAAAATCTTTTGGGGAGATGCAGCTTTGACTGCAAATTATTTAGTAAACAGATTACCAACTTGTGCGCTTGAACATCATAAAACACCAGCAGAAATATGGTATAACAGTAAACCAAACCTTAGACATATTAGAATATTTGGTTGTGAAGCTTATGCACACGTTCCTAAACAAAAACGCTCAAAATTAGATGCCAGATCAACGAAATGTACATTTTTAGGATATGTAAAACACGGATACAAATTATGGGATCTCGCAAATGAAAAAGTTATTTTTAGTAGAGACGTTAAGTTCGACGAGTCCTCGGTAAAGAAACAGTTTTTAAATCCGATAAAAGTAACCGAGGAAGAGCAAGATAACAAAGGTTCTGCAGAAATGAAGGAAATTGAAGGAAAGATGCATAACGTTAAAATACCGATAGAAGATTTTGCTGTCTTTGCGTTCCAAGCAGCAAATATAATTCACAATGTACCAGAAAATTATAATCAAGCGATGAACTCACCCGATAAAGATAAATGGATGGCTGCGATGGAAGAAGAAATGAATTCTATGGCTGAAAACAAGACGTGGACCCTCATAGATAAGCCACAGGGCTAGCAAAATTAATTGTGTCAAAATCGTCGGTTTTGTTTTTCGCGAAATTAGCTGCGCCTTATCTACACCTGATTGCGATTAAGGGGTGGATTGTAGGCTATAATCTTATCAGCTGTTTTTGATGATTAAAGAAAGAGATTGTCTTTTTGATAATTAAAGTCATAGAAGTGATTCGTAGTGTTCTTTTATTGAAATCAACAAAAATTGAGCCCCCTTTAAAAATGGTGGAACATCCATAAAGCGATGAGCCCTTTGCTCATTATTGTTAACACCAGGGTCACAAAACGTCCGAAGGCGTGTTCTGCGAAGTAGGAGCATCGTGAACGCTCAAAAGAAATCTGATATTTGCCTCACCAGTCAAGGGTCTCAAGAAAAAATCGCACTGGCTCCAAAATTCTCATGGGGTGGGTGGAGGGGCGCAATCATAGCCTCGTTTTCCCTAGTTTGGGATTTGATGAGGCAGAAGAAGAATCCAAGAACACCAATTTACGATAGAAATACAAAGTAGTTAACTCATTTATTAATGGAATAAAACAATTTCGATAACTCAATCATAATTTACATTTGAAAAACATCAATTATAGACAATTCAAGATAAAAAGGAAGCATGAGTCAGAGTAAGGAACAACGCGCTGATATAACTTATGCATGAAATCAATGAAAAGCAAGTGTACTCATTTACGTGAAACTCTTGGCAACGAAGTAATATGCCTACGCTAAACGTTGGAGCGTAGACACTCGTTCTCCGATTCGAAGGGATCTCAAAATAGAAAATATATTAAACACTACATGCCTTAAAATAATTCTTAACTACAACTAAAGTCATTTTAGGATCGTTAAAAATACCCCATAATGACCAGAACTGGTGCTGTATTTACAAAAGTAAGCAATTTATTGAGATGATATTTTGTATCGTCTGGAGGAAAACACAATTGGCAGTCGATTGAGACCCAAGATGAACTGATTTGAATACAAATGAACTCATTGTGTGTTTTAGAAGTTCGAACACGACGTAAATGGCAACCACTGACGGTTTTCTTTTAACATTCCATTCTGACCTCTCCTCTATAGTGAGTAAGGTACCTATATGACATTCATCCAATAACCATCGATATCTGTAAAATAATACCTATTCAAAAACCTTTTGATTGATGCATTACATCGCTGAAATTAGGTACCTATAATAAACCTATTCTCTTAAAATAGCCTAGGAAGCCTTTGTCCTTTTTTGTAGTATTAAACACCATGTGAAACAGATGTATTATACATTATTATATGGCATGTATATTGTAATTAAAAAGCAATTGTTAGAGAGTGATTTAGAAAGTTAGTTATTAATGTTAAAATGACTAAAATGCTTGAAATGGTAATTCATTCCACATAAATAACATACTAAAATCGGACTGCCTCCGAGAACCGGATCGACCGGTTGAAGCTCTCGAAACTGTTCCGATTTCAGAATTTTATTTAAGGGAAAAAGAGTTACCATTTCAAGAATTTTAAGCACAATGCTTACTGCCCATTCTTGTGAGGCTCGTTTACATTGTATCGAGCTAGTATTATGGCTAAGAGGGTGGCTAACAAATACTGCTGTTTGGCTCTTGAGTTACAGCATCAGTCTTGGTCATTTTAGGACACCGTACGTGTAAAGTTACATCTGCTTTTAACAATTTTAAACATTGGCGTTGTTGAGCAGACATAAATTCAATATAACTATTAGATTCTTGATTCTAATCTGATGCTGACCTCTTTTTATTACTTTCAAAAAGTTATCTGGTACATGTAAAGACGATCAACCATGTTTGCTCACTGACATCTTACTTTGTTAAATACTATAATTTGTTCAAGATAGGAGGAACCGTGAAAAATCTGAATGAATTGCACTACGTTGAAGCATGTTGCTGCTCGACCATTGGTGATCAAGTCATCGAGTCAACCCCGCCTCGCATGGAGGGTTGTTTATGAGTCACTAGGCGTGGCGCATGGCGCCGAGCACCAGGAATTAAATGCTCCGGGCTCAAGCCCCAGGGAAAACGGCCACGAGTCGACCGTGCTGGCCTGTAGCTTCCTGTGTAACGTGCGCAAAACACGGAGAGGTGACATTTGATGAGGGTTCAAACGGCTTCATCTTGCAAAATAGTGCAATTAATGCCGATTGCCCACGGTTCCTCTTATCTTGAACGGACTGTAACATTTATTCCTTTCCCACATTGAAGATGATATTGAATTAAATAAGCTGATGCTTTAATTCATCTAGCTTTGATTTACTCTGCATGACTTTCATGGACTGAAAAATGACTCTAATTGACTCTAAATTACTTGACTTGTGTCTGATACAAAGGGCATTTGACTGGATATACGAGCCAATTGACCCTACTTCTCTTCAATGTGGAAACAAAAAATCATTATTTTTAACGATGCACTAAAGGATGATCAGAGATATCGGAGATAGAGTTAAAACTTTTTCAACTCCCAACTGTTCATTTACAGTTTTATTTTATTTTTTTTCGATTCTACAATACAAGTTTCGTGTTTTTGATCCTACCTACCAAAACAGAGTTCAAGAAAATTGGGAGCTCGAAATGTACCGACGACGTTCTAAATTCATTCCGTCTCAGAAGTGGACCTAATTTGAGAGCATGGTGTGTGCTGACGACCCAAGTAGCATTTCTCAAAGGAAAAATCGCTATATAGGGAGGTATTGCAATTTTATCAGCGATTATCCTCGATCTTACCGTTATAAAATCGCCCGCAATCGCAAATTTATCGCCCGAGTATTTATCACGATATTTTTGAAATAAAAATCGCGATAAATGTCGATTTAAGCTCGATTTTATCGATGAAAATTGATCATGATTTTATCGAACCAAAAATTCCGATGTGTGGCGATTTAATCGCCATTTATAGCAATTTTTAATGCGATAATATCTCGATATATTGCCACCGATAAAATCGCTATTTATCGCAATCACTGCTACTTGGGGAGTCCGTGAAGAGGCTGAAACCAAAAGAACTACTTATCAGATATTGAAAAGATTTCAAGAGTGTGATTTGTCTCGAGATTAGTTTCTCAAATAAACCTCTTACATCCAGAATAAAAAATGGGGGAGTTCGTGCGGTGCAATCACTAATCCAACAGCCGCACTCGCCCAAAGTATTTCCAAATGTGATTTTGGTTTTTACATGACTAAATTTCATACAGAAGTAACCTCTCAGAAATATTTCTCACTCAGCGGCTCTCTTTTTCAAATGTTTTATGTACATCCTTAAATCTAGGGTCGTAATAAATTTTACATGAAAATTAGGAATCAAGTTAAGATAAACATAATAATAATTAAATATAATAATGGATATTTATCCTAAGAATTTGAGATCCATTCGAGTCAGAGAAGTGTAGAGGGTTCCGCAACTGGTACAAAAAATTAAACAAGTAGAATCATCAAATTCCAGAGGTTGTACACAAACATACTCGTCCGAAGAAAGCTCTTAATTATTTCAGAGGGGACAGAAAAAAGAGGAGTGAAATTACCGTTGAATTTAAAAATTCTCATCAAAATAAAACATTCCCATCTCGGTGAAAATTCCAAATCACTGGAAAGGATACTTATAAAAATTAGCTGATGGATGATCAACATCGTTTACACGTACGAAATAATACAAACACTCCCAAATCACTTGAAATTGATGTTCTCTAAAAGAAAATCAGGACAGCACTGAGACATGAGTTCATATGTACATGATATCATGCTCAAGGGTTTATGTGAGGGGGAGGGGGGTCCCATCCAGCGAGACGGTTGAATAAGAGGAAGAATTTCTGACAAGCCCCTAGTTTTGCAGAATCATCGATAAACTTGATGAAAAATATCGACCAAGGGAAAGGGGCAAAAAAAAGACACACACACACACCCTCACACACACACACACCCACCCTCACACACACACACACACCCTCACCCTCACACACACACACCCTCACCCTCACACTCACACACACACACACACCCTCACACGTACACACCAAGTCGCTTGCAAAGATCTTTCATCTTTCCAGCAACCAAAACCTTAAAGTGTAGAGGGAGGAGGACGCGGGCGTCCGAGGCAAGGGCAGGAAGGGAATTCGAAACTCTGAATTTCCTTGTGGTAATGTGGACTGTCTTTTTCGCAATAAATGAACTCCTATTTTTAGCGCATTTTAGAAACCATTTTTTCTACTAGTTTCCATTAGATGGGTAGGTGTCTCTCAATCTGATGAGAGGCGCACTTAAACTTGAGGCTAAAGGCGTGCATTTGCTCGCACATACTCTAAAGAGTGCACCACTGTACTACGCGCACGTCCGCGGAGGTGTGGTAGCTGGTTAACAAGGAATTTTGACGGGAAAAAATTAACGCACGACCGGAATTAGGCCCAATCGATTCTGCATATAAAAAGGTGTTTACTTATAGCCTAAAGTCTCTATGATCCCTTCAGAGCTTTTGGCACTGTGGTCCGATGAACTGGAAAATCGAATATATTTTTAAAGATTCACTATTTACGGAGAGAGAGTTGAACTTAGAGAGTTCAGTTTTCCTGAATAAAAATGACAACAATTGAGTCAAGGTACTGTGTGGGAACACCCCAGTTTTGAATATCCAAGCACGTCTCATGCGGGCAAAGTTGAAAAAAGTAAAAATTTCGGAATATTTTCAGGGAATTCGAAGCGCAGGGAACCTCGTGTGGACCCGCTTCGTGTACAATAAACCTATGATGTGTTGTACCAAATCAAAATCAAAGTTAAGAGAATGACCTTTTATTTTTGCCGAGTTGGCATTTGATAATCTAGGCCTTACAATTTACTTTTCATCACTTATTTCAATTTAATATAGGTATCTGCATGAAAAATGCTTAGATATTCAAAACTACAGTTTATTCAAAGATTAAACTCAATTGTCGCTATTTATAAGAATCAAATGAACCCTCAGAGTTTACCAATTTCTCGCTCAATGATGAGTTTTGAAAAATTAATCGGATTTTCGAGGTCATCGGACCACACTGCAGAAACTCCTAAAGGGAATTTACGGAAACTTTTGGCTAAGTACCCTTTTTTCTAAGCGAATTCGGTTGGACCTAACTGTAGCCGGATGTTAATTTTTTCCGAAAAAAGCCCTAAAGGCTCAATTGCAATGAGTTAAAAATAAACGATGCCGTCAAATGCTTTATTCTGCTGAGAAAGTTTCAGTGGTTATGATTAGAGGAACGACACCTGAGACCCATAGAAAAATACTGAACGGGCATGGTATGAATCAAGGAGAAGTATTCACTTGGCTTGCTCTTCAGGGGTAGGTATTCTAACATGGCGGGTATTTGAATCAAAGAGAATCGACGGATCACGAATTTGCCTCTGGATGTATCTGACGAGAACAGGAAACTAGCTGAGTGCAATGTCTGCCAAACAGTGCCATCAAAAAGCGTGCTTTGATCATTCACACCTCATCAGAGATAAGCAGGTGGCGCTTCATTCTCTCGTGAGCAATCGATGAGCTGTAATGAGACCGCAATCGGTAAGTTTTGAATTTAAGATCGTGTGTTAAGGGTTTTCGTACAGATCAATCACGAAATGCTAGGTCGTAAGTAATACAACCTGAATAAAAGAACCCAAACAATTTTCGTACGGCATTCAATAAAATAGTCTCTAGGTTTTTCACGACGCTACTTAATAATTCTGATTTCCGGATACGAAGTGGCACTGCCAATTTCACACGGCATTCTTATTTGAATAACTGAGAAAATTCGAAAAATCGTCCGTGCATTGGCACCACCAAGATGGATTTCTCCGACCTGGGAATTCGAGGAACAAGGCCGCCTTTTGTAACCTCTATAGTGCGTTCCGAAGGCGAATTCCTCTTGAATTGTAAATTAATGGCACTTGCGTGTGTCTATCGAGAGGTAAAAGATCAAAACACTTTTCTCGACTGGTGAAAGTCGGGCGCTGGGCAGACTGGAGCAGTGGGTTTCCTTCCGGCGTCGAAGAGTCAAAGACTGGTGGCCAGCTCAGTTGATGCGACCTTTGTGCGTGAAGAAACATCTTGGGGGCGGCGAGGTGAGGTGTTGTAGAGGATCTGACTGGCATTTATTGAGTCGCCGCGCACGATAGCACATGACGGTGAGCACTAGACCCAGCAGGCACATCATGGTCGAGCCGAGAGCCAGAGATGCTGCGAGGAGCCCTGATCGGATGCAAATCGAATTCGGGTTGTCGTCGCTGTAGTGTTCAACTGTTGTTTCTGAAACAAAAACCCCCGTTTGTCAATGAAATTGTGCTCTTGTGCCGCAAAGAAAAGAGCGCTGTGCAATGCACCCCAAAGTACCAGTAGGTAAGTACTGTTAACACCCCGGTTTTTTACTTCACTACTATTACTACTTCCAGTTCATATAGGGTGGTCCAAATCTACCATACCAGGCTTCTTTCTCAGTTTATTTAAAGGTCGGACGAAGCCAAGAACTACGGGAACAAGTAGGGAATGGACCTAAAGGACTCCGAATTTTATCACCTCGAAGCCCCCATGATCTCGAGGCCTTACCTACAGGTCGTAAGGGGGTTCCTGACTTTGAAAAAGAGGAAATCCGGCCAGAATTTTGAAATTATTCTATCTGAGTCGGAAATTACGGACAGTTGTATTTTCCAAAATCGATATCTAGAAGGCCAAGATTGGCCCATTCCGGCCCAAAATACTGTCATCTGCGGCTTGTCTCCAGGGGATGTTTCTTGGGATTTGTTCCGAATTCGAATCGCAGGGATGAAATTACTGAGCTTTGCCCCCATTACAACAACTAAGTTTCTCCTCCTTCTTCTTCTTTCTGAGTCGCTCTCAGGACTTCAGAAGGATTCTACTTGGTACTGTGATTAGTATTCGCTGACTTAATATTTTTCCCAATTTCGGAAGTGAGATTTGTCCAGGGACAAATCTCACGAAACGTCCCATGGTGACAAGGCCTAAAATAGCGAGATCCACTGCTCTCTGGCGTTCATTGTTTCGTCGGGTAAAGCAAAGCATTTCATCACTGCTTAGAGTCATGCACTCCAGTCTGTAGTCTTATGTACTACTTCATTTTTAGCTACTGAATTTTATTCCAATTAATTTATCCTTTTCTTAGAGTGGACAAATCCCATGAAACGTCCCGTGGTGACAAGGCCTAAAATAGCGAGATCCACTGCTCTCTGGCGTTCATTGTTTCGTCGGGTAAAGCGAAGCATTTCATCACTGCTTGGAGTCATGCACTCCAGCCTGTAGTCTTATGTACTACTTCATTTTTAGCTACTGAATTTTATTCCAATTAAATTATCCTTTTCTTACAGTGTGCACTGTTGGGCCGTTCGGAGGGAGCTCCCTTGACCGCGAGGAGCGGGATGAGTTCATTTATAACCAACTCTGTCCATTCCTCAAAATTAGACGTTCTTAGGTGTACGGCGAGAGAAAGTACAACATAAAGGAAATTTTCGCCCAAAGAGCCATAACTTGCAATCAATAATTGAGACATCCCTTGTAGAAACGACGTATCGGTACCAACGCTAAAGTATGCAAAAACGGTTTTTTTGCCCCCCCCCCTCTGGAATTTCTTCAGACTTTGTCCATTGATTACTCATACTTGAGCGCAGGAGTTAGAGAGATGGAAGAAAAAACCTCTCAACCTCGACATATCTCGAACGAAGAAAGATATCGAGGTCCGGTTTGGATGAAAAATCGTATACAATTACAGACTTTATGATTTTAAAGGTTGAAATCCCGAAATCACATTTTTAAGTGAACATATGTGCTTTTTTCCAGTTTTTGGGTTTCGAAAATTTCTTTTAAGCAAAGAACTTACAAAGATCTCAATTTTTTATTTGAATCAAAACCAGTTTTTTTAAATTGTTCGTATTTTTCCGCATCCAACGAGTGGTCCACTAAGCCGGGGAATCAAAAGGTCCCGGAGTTATGAGCGATTGAAGTTTCCGCTCATCGCGCGCCAACCGATCCTCGTGCGCTAAAAAGCCGGATTTGACTGTTACTATATGAGATTGAATGTTCAAACCGTGCAAAATGCATTTTTAGGGACTCTTGAGGGTCGCCGAGTTCAGAAATTACAGATACTTCCACACAATTCACTTATTTAAAATTACAGCTCAGTAGCGCTATTTTAGAGGCCCACCGAACGCCGATTGACCGCTCAGTGGGCCTGTATGGGGCTATTACTTTAAATAAGAACATTTTGTGGAAGTATCTGTAATTTCTGAACTCGGCGACCCTCAAGAGTCCCTAAAAATGCATTTTGCACGGTTTGAACATTCAATCTCATATAGTAACAGTCAAATCCGGCTTTTTAGCGCACGAGGATCGGTTGGCGCGCGATGAGCGGAAACTTCAATCGCTCATAACTCCGGGACCTTTTGGTTCCCCAGCTTAGTGGACCACTCGTTGGATGCGGAAAAATACGAACAATTTAAAAAAACTGGTTTTGATTCAAATAAAAAATTGAGACCTTTGTAAGTTCTTTGCTTAAAAGAAATTTTCGAAACCCAAAAACTGGAAAAAAGCACATATGTTCACTTAAAAATGTGATTTCGGGATTTCAACCTTTAAAATCATAAAGTATGTAATTGTATACGATTTTTCGTCCAAACCGGACCTCAATATCTTTCTTCGTTCGAGAGATGTCGAGGTTTAGAGGTTTTGTCTTCCATCCCCCTAACGCCTCCCCAAAATTTTTTGGAGGTCTGAAAATTTGGGGAAAGAAGCGCTCAAGTGTGAGTAATCAATGGACAAAGTCTGAAGAAATTCCAGAGGGGGGGGGGGCGAAAAAAGCCGTTTTTGCATCAAGCTCTTTGGAAGCGCCATGATCTTGTCCTCGAGGGTATATACATATGGTTTTTTGTGTTATTACACATGAGTTCGGCAAAATGAGGCATATCTCTGCCGCGAGGTGCAGGAACTTGGTCGCGCGGAGGGGCCATAGTAGTGCGTTGACTACAACCCAAAAATGGCAAAAACCTTGCGCTGATTGATTGGAATATGTTGTTTTCAGGCCTCATTGGTGGTACCCTCAGGAGTAATTCTGGAAGGGGCAACACTCTGAGACCCGCGACTGGAGCAAGATGGCGGCCGTTAAAGTCCGCCATTTTGGTTTTTTTCAAAGTGCTGTCCTTCGGTTGCTATTGATCCGATTTTGATCAACTTTAGGCGTAGGCTTGATTTAGGTTTAATTTGATACCAAAACCAAATTTGTGCGATGGAAAACAAACCCACGAGAACAATTTAAGTGGAACGCGACGGTGCGCGTCACACGGCGCGTGATCCGTATGGGGTCGTTGGCGCCCTTCACTGCCGTGTAATTCGGTTGCTACTAGAACCGTAAGGTCATTTTGTTCTAAGAAGCTCGAAGAAACTGAAATCAAAGCTTTGCCTCATTGAACGGATCCGGAAAAGTACCCCTAAGTCGATTAATTTGATACCATCATCATCCCTGCGTGACCAAAATTAGACTCGTGACAGCAATTTCATTTCATTCATAAAGTTCATCACATTACATTGCCCGTCACCTTCCAGTTTTCCAGAAGAGCCACTTTTTCCCGGAAAAATGCGTAAATTTGACGTATTATTGTCATTACTTCCATTTTTTTATACATCCCTCTGGACCCGTGGAAGCGTGAATGCCGCGTATTTTGAGCTGCTAAATTCGAATATGACCTAGATTGTTTTTAATCACCTTCTAGTTTTCCGGTGAAACCAATTTTTCCGAGTCTTAATCTATGCTTTTCTAAATTCCACGTGAATTGAAAATACATTTTAAACATTTCTCCAACATGCAACACATCGACCCTAGCGTAATTTTGAACTGCTTTGCCTGAATATGATCTATGATTTTTTCTTTCGCACACCAATTTCCCGGAAAAGTCAATTTTTCACGGAGAGCGAGCTTTTTTTCCGGGAAATTGGTGTGCGAAAGAAAAAATCTTAGATCATATTCAGGCAAAGCAGTTCAAAATTACGCTAGGGTCGATGTATTGCATGTTGGAAAAATGTTTAAAATGTATCTTCAATTCACGTGGAATTTAGAAAAGCATAGATTAAGACTCGGAAAAATTGGCTTTACCGCAAAACTAGAGGATGATGAAAAACAATCTAGGTCATATTCGAATTTAACAGCTCAAAATACGCGGCATTCACGCTTCCACGGTCCAGAGGAATGTATAAAAAAATGGCACTAATGACTAAAATACGTCAAATTTACGCGTTATTCCGGGAAAAAGTGGCTCTTCTGGAAAATTGGAAAGTGACGGACAAAAATGTAGAGGCCACTTTTGAACTCAGTGGCTTAAAGTACACCGGAAGGGACGTATCTTGTAGTCGAGAAAAATTTTACGATCACATTATGCGAGGGGGAGTAGTCCCAAAAATGGCAAAAAGTGCACATTTTCCGGGAAAATCGGCATTTCCGGAAAATTGGAGAGTGATAGGAAAAAATAGAGGTCATTTCCGAATTCAGCGCCGCAAAATAAATAAGGATCATCTTATCTCGTATCGAGGATACTTGCATCATTTTGTTTCTTCCACTATGATATCCTACAGTAATGCGATGAACTTTATGAATGAAATGAAATTGCTGTCACGAGTCTAATTTTGGTCACGCAGGGATGATGATGGTATCAAATTAATCGACTTAGGGGTACTTTTCCGGATCCGTTCAATGAGGCAAAGCTTTGATTTCAGTTTCTTCGAGCTTCTTAGAACAAAATGACCTTACGGTTCTAGTAGCAACCGAATTACACGGCAGTGAAGGGTGCCAACGACCCCATACGGATCACGCGCCGTGTGACGCGCACCGTCGTGTTCCACTTAAATTGTTCTCGTGGGTTCGTTTTCCATCGCACAAATTTGGTTTTGGTATCAAATTAAACCTAAATCATGCCTACGTCTACTTTCAATAACGAGATACTCATATTTATTCGCCCATTAGGCATTATCTAACTACAAAATTTTTGTTTTTCTGGAAAAAAAATTTGTTTGGAAAATTTTGAAAAATTATCATGTTAGCGCCAAAATTGTATAAGGAGCTAGTTTTGCATGAGTATTACTGCTTATGAAATAAAATTGATTAAAATTGATCGCACAGCAACCGATATACAGCGCATTGAAGGGTCGCGTCGGCCGTCTAGAGCGCCAAAACGGGTCCCACAGCGCGAAGCGCGCAACACTTAAATTGCTCTCACGCGCTTATTTATTATCGCACAAAAATCGTTTTGGTATCAAATTAAAGGTCAGGCAATTCTACGGCTCCATCAAAGGAGGCAAAATATCCATTTTCCAGCCTGTCAAAAAGTTATTTGACCTTGAAATTTTCAAAAATTTGAAAAATTTTAGTTTTTCCCAATTTAGAAAAAAATTTGTGACTAGCAGAAAAATTGATTAGGAATAAAATTGTTCTCGTGGAAATTACCTTTCATTTAAAAAAAAGTTGATCAAAATCGGATCAATAGCAACCGAAGGACAGCGCTTTGAAAAAAACAAAAATGGCGGACTTTAACGGCCGCCATCTTGCTTCAGTCGCGGGTCTCAGAGTGTTGCCCCTTCCAGAATTACTCCTGAGGGTACCACCAATGAGGCCTGAAAGCGGCATATTCCAATCAATCAGCGCAAGGTTTTTTGGCGTAGTCAACGGACTATAGTGGTGGCGGTGTGCTGTATGCCGCCGCCGCGCGCCGAAATGATCTCTTTCATCGACTAGTGACTGAGGCAAGAAGGAATCGATCCTGACAGGGATTAATATTTGTTGTCTTTTTTCCAACAAACCTAAAGTAGACTAAAACCCATTAGAATTTTTCCTTTATCCCTTCAAACAGTTCCAGATATTTCATTTTAATCAGATTGTATGCACGAGAATTAATCCATCTCTGAAGAAATGACGTATAAATTGAGAAACATTTCACTGCCGAGAGGCCACTTCCCAAGCACTAGCCCTGTGAAATTTTGCACAATGATTAGCAATAGTTTGTTCTTCCGGAAAAGCTTTAGATTTTTAAAATTGGAGTAGTGGTTCCAAAAATAGGTATACGCTCTCGAAAACTTCATAATCTTTTTTCTCGAAACTTAAAATTCCTTTATACGTCGTTTCTACAAAGTATGTCTCAATTATGGAGTTACGCCATACGCGTCATCTTATCGCCCGCGGCTGGCGACAGCGCGCTAAGGATGGTTTCCCTTGCCGCAAATTGCCTGTTCAAGGCCTCTCCTTTGAAGATAGGTACCTCAAAATGAACGGAGTTTTTGTCCAAAGAGCCGTAACTCATTGAGGTGAGTGTGGAAACATGTTTCGCTTCGCTTCAAATCTGGAAATTTACTTTCATCCCCTAAATGACTTCAGTACCAGGGTCAAGAGTTGAGATATCGGCTTCACATTTTTACAATTCATTTTTGAGATCATCTGGCAACTTTTTTTTCCTTGTTAGCCGTTCTCTCTTGAACAAAATGTTGTTCACTCCACCCTAAATTACCCAGGGCTTTCTTTGCAGCTGAGTGTACCTATACAACTTTTGATGAATTGGTATGACTCTGTTGCACTGTAAAAAAATTCTAACCCTAGTTTTTCATCAAACTATTTTTGGTACAGCTTTTTTATGCTGTAAACTATCGATGATATAGCGCACTTGCTCTGCCTTAGTTCCTTGAAGTTGGCACTTTTGATGTTGTAAGGTAGGTACCTATTCCGCTACTGTCCACACTTAACCGGAAATGCAACCTCCGTCTTGGGGGAAACAATGATCACTGGCAAAGGAGAAACCCTTGCATATTCTTACTTATTGAACCTTCATAGTTTGCGTTGGACTTGTTTTCTGGGAGCCCCGTGGTTGCTTGTAGCCCCCTATTTAGCTGAACCCAATTATTGTACCTATTAATGGTTATCTCGATGTTTGTAGAATCCGTTTAGTATTTTCAACTCGTTTTGCTCCCATAAATCAAATAAGCCTGCACTATGGGCCACTAAACCTTGTTTATTTCATTGAATATTCTGAAAAGACAATGTGAGTAGATAACGTGGTGATTTTTCCGCATTTTTATGGAGCCGAAATCGCGGAGATCGAAACCCGTTTTTGAAAAATCTAAAAACTGCAAGACATTTCAAACGCACCCGAATGGCGGGAAACTGACGGTGTTGCCGCACTGCGGTAGTCATATCGCAATCTTCTCTCATTTTCCTCTGATGTTTGTTAAAATAAAACGTGTTTCAATATAGAATTGTTGCTCGTTTATTACAGCTAACATATGAATGAGATTCAAGTCTTGAATTCAAAAGATATAATTTCGACGTTAGTATTGTTTTCATATAGGAAGAGTAGATAGACATTTGACGGAAGTCGTGGAAACCCGTGCCCGCTTCTGATTGGTGCCGGATGATATAATTCGGCGCGGCGCGAAACCGGGGCGTTTTAGATTTGCGTATAAGTTGAGCGATTTGAACTGCGCATTTCTCGGTTATTGAGTTACTTGTTCGCGTTTTTAATGTGCGCATCGTGTTCTACGCGTCATTTTCCTTCAGAAAACTATATTCGCAAGTCAAAATTCGTTCACGGTTTAGTGACCCATTGTCATTCAACGCCTCTTTACTAGAAGGTGGACGACTTTAGAACCATTATTTTGTCCAGTTGTACAATTTGAATCCCCCATGATAATGATCTCCCATGTCCTTCTAACCCTCAGAACCTCATCAATTGAGGTCATAAGACGCAGTCATTCTTTCTCATAATCAGGGCTTTCTCAGGAGAACGACTGAAACAATCCGTGTGCGTTTTAACGGAATACGTTTGTTAGATTCAGTATCTCTCGTCCTCAAATTCGTCATAGCTGTCGAAGAATGACATTTTTGGACTTTTTACGTGTTGTTTTGAGAAAGGAGACCACAACCTTTCGATAGTAATATGGTATGCTCACACAATTTGTTCAATGCTTCCCTGATTTTATGTATCCTTTGAATAGGTAATTAAAATCACTTACGATTCCGGGCGATGGAGTCATCAGCGTTTTCTCCTTCTTGCAGAACCCTCAGTGACTGGAATAGGTTGATGTTTTGAGAGAGCGCCGATGGTGACGTTGACACGCTGCTGCTTAGCTTCCCATCTGTCAACTCCGCTTGTCGCTTTGAAATACTCTTCGCATTTCTCCAGTGACAAGGTTGACTCTGCAAAATTATCCGATGAATCAATTTTTTGTGTCATAAATTAAAACAAGCTGGGAATCCATCGCTGCTGCGATAGAGAGCGGCTCTGGAAATGGTTACCAAACATTCGTGTGAGGCGGGAGATAGAAAGGACAAAAATCGAGTATAATAGGATACAAATGTATGCATCTCCTCATCATAAAATATGTTGAAAATGGTAAGATCGAACGACCACTTAAAATTTCAACGGTAAAAGGTGAAAAAAACATGATGTCAGCATGATATTATGGGATTAATATTATATCAGCATAAAGGTCTGATATTAGTGTGGTATTATGCTAGTATCATACTGATATCTTACTGATAGTTTACTGATTTTCCTTATACCAGCATGTTACCTATACTGACTAGGCATGACATCATAATGATTCAACATGACATCATGCAGATCAACTTTATTACCAGGGTTATTACTTACTCTGTACATTTAAGCCCATCAGTGATTGATCAATCATTGAATTTTAATCATATAGTAAAAAATGGTGATTGCATTTCGGACATCTTGGATTTTTTTGATGACGTAGTTGGTGCGGACGAGTTTTATCACTGATTTTCTTGGAAATGGGGTAGTTTATGGAAAAAAATCATCCAATATAAAGTGTTTGAAATTATATCATGAGTTGAATTAAGCAAAAAATCGATGGGCTCATGGTCCGTTTTTCATACTCAGAATTCCAGATTTTGCTGGCCAGGTTGTACCGACCTACGTAATGAAGTAAACAGTCCTCAAGATGGCAACACCTCCTTTTTTTCTCTATGAACTTTAAGGGGTGAGAAAAACAGAGTTACTTACAGGACAACGCCCGTGACACATTCTGACGTCACACTCGATGTACAGCGCTGGCGATCCAGTGAATCTGAATGTTTTCATATAGGCGAACACTTGCGTTTCAAATACACCCGTCTCACTCCATGAGCCTCTAAATCGACTTATTAACTTGTCATCTACCGGACACCTAGAAAACAGTTTTATTATCCATGAGATGATGAGTCGGTAGAGAAATACAAGGAGGAAGAGACGTTTGACCCGAGAAGATGGGCTCAGAGAAGGCATCGGTCTTACTTACCTCAGTTTCATTATGAAGAAAGGACCCTGCACACCTCTTATGGGAAGCTGCACCATGACCGAATGCTAATTGATTTATGTCATTCGATTCTCCACAAGGTGCTGATCAAAAGTTATAACTGCGCCAACTTTCTACGATGCACTGTTTTCGAAAAAACCTAAGAGAAGATTTTATTCGGCGACAACGAATAAAAAAGAACAAAGCATTTGAGAACAGGCCCGATGTACATAAGGAAAAAACGTAGCGCGTGTCCGTCTCCTTATCTGTAGGTACCTGCCGACTCTAGGACTATCCCCCTCCTCCTGCTCTGTCGACGCGTCCGTTGGACGTTCCTGATTTTTTCCTTGTTGACACACAGCCGCTTGTCAATCGAGTACTGACAAGAGGAATCTTTCTGGCTTTTTACCGCCGAATAATTGAATCTTCTGTTAGGTTTTTTGCGAAAACGGTGCATCGTAGAAAGTTGCCGCAATTATAACTTTTGATCAGCATCTTGAGGAGAATCGAATGACATAAATCAATTAGCATTCGGTCATGGTGCAGCTTCCCATAAGAGGTGTGCGGGATCCTTTTAAAAATATTCTTTTTTGGAATTTTTTGCAGTAAAACTTACGTATGAGTAAATTTACGTTTAAGTCATTCAAAAATATTACTACTTATACATAGGTTGTTTTTGGACGAAAAACATTTTCGAAAATGCTAGCTGCATTAAAAAGCGTCTAGACGAAATCTACAGCATGGGCATGGAAACTGTGAAACCTGAACGGAATTTACGCCTTATGGAAATTCTCAGTCGTCCCTAAGAATCTCTGAACTTTCACAGATATCTTTGAAAAGTCACGAAATTTCCTTGAAATTCCATGCATATCCGTGGTAGTTGACTGCAGGGAAAAGTTTAAGCAGGAAATTTTGGGGGAGAAATGAAATAAACTCGAAAGTCATGTTCTAGAATAGACTTACATACAGGGTGTACCAAAAGTCCGTCCCACCCCTGCTAACTTTTGAACGAATTGAGCTAGGGTAATGAAACTTTGGGAATGTTCCTATCTCAAAGGGGACCATCTTTTGTGGGGAACCAAAATTTTGACCCCCCTAAAAGATGGTCCCCTTTGAGATAGGAACATTCCCAAAGTTTCATTACCCTAGCTCAATTCGTTCAAAAGTTAGCAGGGGTGGGACGGACTTTTGGTACACCCTATAAACTACCTAGTTAGTATTGGTACATCCTGCCCTACAAAGGGTCGACAAAAATTTTGCAGAATTGTTGTCGTAATGTAAATTACTCACGGTCGTTGCCAACAGTAACGCTGCGCCAACGGTTTCAATATGCTTTTGCAACCCAATTTTGCTACAATTGCCGGGCAGCCGCTTGTTGCGGTAATTTCATCGTAGATTTACCAGAACTTACACAGAGAAAAAAAAAACTCTTTTTAATCTCAATTTTCTTTTGGAACTTAACCATTTTTTGTAGGTCCCCTCCTTCCTAAGCCACAACAGAACTTTCTTTAACTACGGCAAGGAAATGTTAACCCTTGTTACGAAACTATTTCTGCCATCACTTACCCGTATTGATCTATCAGTTGTATCCGTTTATTTGCACCATTGTGAGCATAGCAATCATTGACAACAATGTCAAATCCATCTGTAAAATAAAAAAAACAAATCTCAGATGATAATTCAAATTTAATTTCATTCCTGAAGATACACGCAGGTACTTAAGCACTAATTTGAGCATTCCCTGATTGAATCATGTACTCCGTTTGCTCTACGTCAGAAACCGCGTTTTCAACGCTCCGTCAAAAGTTTGTGAAAGAAATCAGTGCGATGTATTAGTGTATTACGATTTTTGTCACTGGTCTTCTCAATAATATTTTTTCAGAACGAACTTCGTAACGTTGACTTGTTGTAGAATCGAGTTGTTACATCATTTCTTAGCTGTTGCTTTGAAAAGAGGTTTGTAAACCTTGGGAAAAAGTATCTCCACAATTTCAATTCTGAGTTTTTTGACACTGAAGATTCCTTTTCCTAAGGATGATTATGTATCAAGAGAAAGAAGTAAGAATGGTTCAATCATTAAAAACTAAAGAGCACTCACCGTATTTACTGCGCATATATATGATCAAAGTTAATGGATCTCCGACTCGAACCGGCCCTCCAACTCTGTTTCCAGTTGTTCCATACCCGTACCGAATTTCCATGTAGCACTCTGGCGGTGAAAGGGTAAACACAACCGGATTGCCGGTAGCAACTCTATGAACATAAAGATGCAATAATTGAATAAATAAATCAGTGTTGATTAATACTGAGAGAGGAAAATGAGATCACAAGTTCACCCGAAAAGGGCTGAATGGACCACTAGACAAGGTAAGAATTTAAGCATTCTGATACATGTTTCTTAACTAGAATTTCACGTAGAACATGATTCGCGCAACGAAAATTACTGAAACCAACTCCTAACGGAGATATTAACATTTTTATTTCACATTGGTTACGAAGAATTTGAACTGCCCGCTCACATGAAACCCAAAGCTCTACGTGAGTCAAATCGCGCACTTCAACGGTTTCAGCAAGCTTCTCAATCGAGCAATTTTCATTTCCTACCATGTGTTTTTCAAACTATAAGTAATTTGCTATAGCTATGCCAAAGCGTCAAGATTGAGGTTGCCAGATTTTTTTTTTCGCAGAGACGTTCATGATAACGTTTAGCGCACGATGTGAATCAAGTAGAGCATTGAGCTTTCATGAGCGGGTGGTTTCAATTCACGCACCAAGAATCATTAAATATCTTCGAAAGGAGTTGATTTCGGTAATTTTCGTTGTGCGCATCGTATTTTACGTGAAATTTTGGTGAAGAAACATGTATCAGAATGTTGAAATTCGTACCTTGTCTTGTAGTCCATTAGTGAGCAGTACTTTTCTTGAATTATTTGATTTCAAAATGAGCAATCGGTTTGAAATATTGAATTTCAAATGGAGCACTACACACGGTACAAAGTTAAGCACTTGATAATGGTGTCTGATAATTAGTGATGCGTGTATGATGAAATTTTGGCTCAAAAAATGAATGTGACGATTTGGAAAAAAACCGAGGTTGCCAATTATTGGCCGTTCATAACTTTAACGCGCGTTACTTTGAAAAATCATTTTTTTAAAAAAAAATCAGATGTTTTTGTTTTCCTCGTGTCAAAATACAACAGGACACCGAGTTTCAGGCAAATGTATCTGCAAGAAGCCGCATTGCCAATTTCGGCCATTTTGAACCCAATCCGGCAACCCTGTTTTTCCCATTTCTCTTCTTATGCTCTTTCGTACGAGGCATCAAAAGTGGGTTCTCCCAATTCAAAAAAAAGATTCGTGTCCGTCCCCCCCCCTTAAAATTTTGAGTGGGCTAAAAAGTAGGGTTTTTTTACCCTAAAAGATCCCAAAAGTTTCAAATCTTCAGCTCAAATAGGTAAGAAGTTGAAGGGGACTTTTAGGACACCCTGTTAAAGGAAAATGTATTCACTATTGACTGATCGACTGATGAACTCACTCATCTCTCGCGCTCGGTCCTCGGCATATCGGATGCAAACCAAGCTGTTCGACGAGTTTGGCTGAGAAGTGGAATAAACCGCCATCAGAAGGGAGGTGAACGTTTCCGCAGTCCGCACACTTTAGGGTAGGTATGTGCGCACTTTCGCACGCATTTATCGTGTGGGGCGTTCTCGCACAGATAACAGCGAATTTTCGGCAAATAATCCAAGATGAGGGAACGCCGCATACGTACTAACCTTTAATCCTGTGCGGAAGTATTGGCTGGAGAAAGAGGCGAATCGGTGTAAACTCGACGAATTACTGGTTCTGGTTGACAAGAACTTCCCTGACTCTGCTTCATATGATACACAGTTATCGAAAATTCACCTATCACCCCTGTAACTTTTTTCCTAATCAACATAGAAATTTGAAACTTTGGTGATGTTCCTAGGACTAAAGTAATAACTTTTTGGTCCCTCCCCCAAAATTTTAGAGGGCGGTCCCCTCTAAGGGGGGTGGGAGGTATCTTTTTTCCAATAGCAACCCTTCCTGTTGTAGTACGTCAATCGAATCAGGATAAAGTAAGGCAATTTTTGACTCAAACCACAAGTCCAAATCATGACTTTTGACAAAATAGCGGCCCGTCAAAGTTCAAAATAACGGAAATTTGACATCTCCGTTTTTTTTCGACGGATTTGGATGAATCTTGGCGGCCGTAGTTTTCTTGGGACGAAAAAAAGAATTCGAGCATTAGTGTTTCGGAAAATTCAGTCCTTTTCAAAATGGCGGTGGTCAAAATGGTGACCTAGACCGGGAAGTGGATATTCAGGCTGCTTATCGGTATTGCATGAAACTAGGTGTTTAGGGGTATTTGGGCACGAGAAAAACGATTATTTCATTGGATTTTTGAAATTTTGAATAACTTTAAAATGGCGGCAGAAAAATGACGGAAACTTGTTATTCCGAACGTCTACTCGTGGATTCGCATGGAACTCAGTAGCCTGGTGGTTTCTGGCTTGGTAAAATGACTTTTTCGCATTAAATTTTTGAAATGGTAAATAGTTTCAAAATGGCGACCGAGTTTCGTGCGAGTCCATCATTAAAAATCCGTAATACCAAGTTCCCGCCATTTTTCCACCACGATTTTAAAGATATTTACAATTTCAAAAATTCAACAAAAGATTCGTTTTTCTCTTGCTGAAATACCTTCGGATTTCAAATCCCACGTGAACCCACCAATAAGCAGCCTAAATATACACTTCCCGCTCTGGACTCCATTTAACCTCGTCATTTTGAAATGCATTGACTTTTTCGGAAAATTAATGCCAGAATCGTTTTTCTCTTCCCCAAAAATCCGCGGATATCAAGTTTTATCTACTACTAATAATAATAATAAGTCGCTCTTATAGCGCTTCTGTGCGCTCTGCGACACCCAACCGCCACTGATCGCGACCCTGCGATCCTGAGAGCTCCTCCGGCAGATCGCATCTCCTCATTCCCTGCCTTATTCCCTCAATCCACGATTTGGCAGGCGTCCTCTACGTTTTCTGCCACGGCTGGGACCGTTTCTTCAACTGCCATACCTCGCTGCCATAGGTTAATATGCTTTTGATGATGGAAGTATAAATTCTCTTTTTGTTAAGCTAGGATATTGTCTGGTCCCAGAGAATACCATTCATCATTCTAATGGCTTTCCTCCCCTGCAGATTCCGTTCTTTGATTGCTTGGTCCATTTTGCCATCCGAAGTTTTATATACATCCGTCAATAAAAACGGAGATTCCAAATTTCTGTTTCTTTTTAACTTTAACCGGCCGCCATTTTGTGAAAAATCGACATTTTAACCTGCGGCTTGTGCCAACGTTTTTCTACTTGTATTGTCTTTCGAAAATGGTGTCACAAAGATGGGGGGTTTTCAATTGAAAAAATTTACCCCCCCCCCCCCATAAAGTGAGGTGGGTTGTAGTTGAAAAAGACCCCCCCCCCCCCATCTTAGATGTCGCCCCCTCAATTTTTGGAGGAACCAAAAAGTTGCTACTTTAGATCTAGGAACATCCCCAACGTTTCAAATTTCTATGTCGATTACGGAAAAAGTCACAGGAGTGGTAGGTGACTTTTGGATAACCCTGTATTTAAGAGGTAAAATCTGGCAACTATATAGTTCCCGTTCCTACCCACTCCTGCTGTCCGTGTTCATATTTAGATACGTCGGGTGTAAATGGCCCTATGTCAAAGTAGAACTGCAGTATTTATCATCTTCCAATTTTGGGGATTAATAATATCTTCAGAATCTGACTATTCGTCTTTAGAAACCATTTTAAGGAGGATGTCTTGCATCTAGGATTTAAAAAAAAAGTCAAAAATCAATTCGATTAAAACTCAAGATCGTCATATCACCTCGCAAATAAGCATTGACGAAACCTTAAATCTTAGCCTCTACATATTTTTGGGGCTTTCGAGGCTTGAAAGTATCACCATTTGTCACTGATCGGATTTTTGGATAAATGATACTTTGAGCCTTAAAAATTTGGCGAACAACGGCGAAGTAAATACACCCGAGCATCGGCAAGGGGAATGCGGCGTTACCGTGTATTGACTTATGTGACGGAAGTTCGTTGGGATGTATGTGAAAACGTCCAACACGGTAAGTGTGCGGCAATGTGCCAATGTGCCAATATGCGAAAGTCTGTAGAAACATCATGCAATCCGTCGGATTTTCACGTTAAACTGGGGTGGTTGGTGGAAGATAGGCTCAGTGCGGGTGCAGTGCGGATTCTGATTGTAGTACCGTTAAAGGTGGCAAGACCTTGTTTGTAAGTGAAATATGGTACCATGTTGATGAAAAAAATGGTATAAACATGGTATTAACACGGTATCAATTCGGGCTCGATATTGTTTTATGTTGGTACCATGCTGGCCATGATTGGGCAATTTTACGAGGTTGACACCATGAGGGTACCATGTTTGAACCATGCTGATAATATATTTACTAGGGGGCTACGCCCCCTGGCCGCTACGCGGCCCAACCCCCTGAAGGCGCTCCGCGCCATCAATGGGTCGCTTCGCGGCCCTATTTTTACCCTCCTATCAGTGTTAGTTTTATTTTTCCCCTAAAAAAATACGATATGGGGTATACTTTAATTTTAAACTTTACTTTAAAATACTTTAAAATTAAAAGGACGCGTTTTGGAATGACTGTTTGGTGGAATATTGCAATAAAACAATGAACAGTGAAAGTCAGGTAATAATTAAGATTTCATGAGTCGGAGATCGAACCCACACTGTGATCAAAGCGAACGCATTCTACGTCTTAGACGACTCGGCCACCGCTCGTCATGCACGCTCGTAGGTGCGAATCTTGTGTAGATAAGTGTAGAGCTGATGCGCAGGCTACCCAGCTACTGCGCAACCTCCTCGACCATTGCGCATCCTCCCGCGCATAGCGGTAGCAGTACCGGAGCATTCTGTAAACTCACTCACTTTTATAACGTGATTTTAAAAAAACCTGGGTCCTTTTTCCAAAATCTGATTGCAGCGGGCTCATCTAGGGCCTATTACCTGTCGATTTACGCAAAAATCATGGAAATCGGCCCGGTAGAACGCTCAAACGAACTATGACAAAAAGTATAAATTTACATTGTTTAAATGGGAGAATTCGCAACTTTACCACGTAATATGAAAAAACCTGGGCCATATTTTGAAAATCTGAAAAAAGTTGGCTTATCTAGAGGCAATTGCCCTTCGATAGCCGCAAAAATCATGAAAATCGGCCCGGTAGAACGCTGGAACTAAGCGTTACCAGTTTCGCAAAATTAGGAGGTCTTGGAGCTTATAGTATAGATACCACGTCGGCTTCAACATGCTAGGTACCAATCGCAATAAAGGCAAGTTGTTCCCGATCGTAGCTATCGGTAGGTACTATCAAATATATTTCCGAACTTAAAAGGATTCCAAGTTCTTGGGGAGTTCAAACGAGTTTGTAATTGAACATATATGCGCTAAAAGGAACTATTTTGTACACAAACCGTACTTATGCACGTAGTTCATCTCAGCAGAAATAGTCAAATACCATTGGTCATTGATGTACAGCATTTACTATTGATGTGTTCTTATTGGGTTAAAAGGGACAAACATAGAAACTAATGAATTCTAAAATGAATTTTCCCTTGAAAAATTTGAATGAGTGAGGTTAAAATTTTCAAAATTACAACTTACTCTACGTCGAGAAAAGGAAATGTCACAGTTTTCCAAAAATCGTAGCCGTACTCGCACGTCACTTTAAAGTGTTCGTCCCACTCCTCCTCTATGAGTGGGTTATACTGCACTGTCACGGTGTTCCACATTAGGTTTTTCTGTAAAAAGAGAAAGATAATTCAACAATAAAAGGCGAAAAGATCTTTGTTCGAGACCTGTTTCATGCCTATAACACACTTCAAGGTCTAAATATGTAGTTTCCCTATAACCTCTGGAAATATAGGCATATGTGGTGTTTGGGTGTCGCAGAGAGCCTGAGTGCCTAGAGTACCTAACTGATTTGAATGATTTTCCCAACCGACGCGCGTTCGCGAGATTTCTCACACCCCTTCTTACCACTCATCCGCTGAGTTCTTACTTTGTTTTATCTATGAACATTCTCGAGTTTTGAGAGAAAGAGGAGTTTTGTTGACTCTTCATCGCCTTCGCCACACTGCCGCCTTTTATTGAAGGAATTATTAAAACTTAGTACTCGTCTTAGTAAACTCGTCTGATAGTACGAAAACGGTAGCTTGTAGAAATTTTGGTGCAATGTTGACTTTTGATCAGCATCCATAGACGAGTTTGATGCAATAAAAAAATTGAAAATCGATCATACCACAAATTCTCATGACTTCATGAGGGTCATTCGATGTCAACTCAACCAGGCCCGGTACCCGACCCCCTTCGATTTGGCTGAAAATTGGAATACGGGGCCTTTACACCGTTCTAAGAAACTAGTTTGGAGGATTTTCCCATCCGACGCCGCGTTCTTGAGATATCAAATCCCCCCCCCCTCCCCGAAGATAGGGCGAATTTCAGCGATTTTCAAAAAAGCCCGTTTTACCGATTCTTATTTTCTCGACTTTCCTCTCTTTGACTCTCCGAAGCGAGACTCAGTATCCTATATATTAAAATGCAAAGTTCCGAATTTCGGGACATTAACTTTGAGAGAACTACCGGACCGATTTGCATGGGGTTTTTTTTAAATGAAAGCTTCTGAGCTATAGATTTGCAGGCTGAAATTTGTTTTTCGATTTTTTCAAATTTGCTCCCATAATTTTCTTAAATTTTCTCCAATGTATTAAAACGGAGGTCCGAATCTTTGGACGTTAACTTTGAGAGAACCACCGGACCTATTTGGATGATTTTTGTTTTGAATGAAAGCGCCTCTGATCTGTAGATTTTCAGGCTGTGATCGTTTTTTCAATTTTCTCAAATTTTCTTACTTTTATCGACGAGTGAAGTTTAGCTGGGCTCAAATTTTCTCCCATTAATTCAGACTAAAGTCCGAATTTTGGGACATTAACTTTGAGAGAACCACCGGACCGATTTGCATGGGTTTTTTTTTTAAATGAAAGCTTCTGATCTGTAGATTTGCAGAATGTAATTGTTTTTTCAATTTTCTCAAATTTTCTTACTTTTATCGACGAGTAAAGTTCAGCTGTTTCGAGCGGTCGTCCAGCCGCTACCTGCTTTGCCCGTCCCTAGGTATCCCCCCTCTACGGTCTAAGCCACCCCTTCCGCCACGTTCTTTCGGCAATCTCCGTTTTCTTTCGTATAGCTTTCCTCCCACCAACCTCAAGGAGGTTTGGGTCGCATCGTCGTTCGTCACTCGCCACCCACATTCCTTCGCAATCCTTCAGCTGCTCCACTTCACAGCTTCTTGATATTCTGGTATCTTATTCTCTGCGGCTTGACTGACCCTGACTTATTAACTGCAGTATTGCGTATTGCTACCAACACGTATTGTTACAGACATTTTATTCATCATTATTAAATAGATTCAACTAATTGCTCCGATTCCAATTAAGCTACTATACCACCATTGCTAGCTGCTCCGGGCGCTCGTAGGGCGCCCGGAGCAGCTAGTCAATCCATAATACCTACTTATGAAGAGTGTTTCTAGATCAACTTTTTACGTAGATTCTAAATGTGCCATGTGCCGGGGATGTTTGCCATATGATACTGAATAATTATAGGTGTTTGCTAGACAAAAGTAATTTCACAATGGGCTTACGTACTTCCTTTTGATTCTGATACGTCCAATTTTACCTGCAGACGATTATAAGTTGCAGAAATAGGTATACTTAGATCATCACTTAAACGTCCGTGGAATCTAAAATAGAAACCATCGATTTAGAAACTTACAGCTGGGTTTTTCCGAGCATCCTCCTGCCGAGAGTTTTTGCCCAAGGTACCACACCGGTTGAGTTGGATGTAGAACTCATAGTAGTCTCTGCCAGTTCCGTTAATGTAAACACAATCGGGGTCGTATGAGTACCCAGAGGAGTATAACAAGCCTCCAAAAGAGCCGTTGAAACCGATTCGAATCTTCATGTAGTCGTCTTGACATTCTGCCTCAATATCTGCAACCATATACATCGTATAAATAAGTAAACTAAAAATATTTTCCACGATTAAGGTGGATCTTCAGCACTTTAGAGAACGATTCGGTAGTCGATTGATCAATTGATAATATCTGGATTTCAGGACATCTGTTCGAAATCTTCGATCACCACATGACGATGTATAGTCCGTCAGGTATTGGTTCGCCAAAATTGACCAATCGACATTCCGAAATACCACTGCCAAAAGTACGTACCGAGTGAATAGCGCAAATTGTTTTGCCTTTCGATTTGCGAAATTAAAAATGCTGTCGGAGATTTTACGATAAAATTTGTTGGAGATGCAAATTTGTGATAATTACGATAAAACTTATTAGGGATAGTAATTTGTGAATGATCGTACGTTTAATATTTAGAGTTTTTGGGGTTTCTTTTTTCAAAGAAAGAAAGAATGAAAGAAATGTTTCGCACAGTACGGACTTAGTGCATGGACGGCAGCACTATAGTCTCCTATTCTGTCCATGAACAACGGAGATGCCAAAATCCCATCTTTTTTTAAATTTAAAATCAACATTTCGACTTGCAAATTTCCAAAATTTTCCTTCAAATAAGGTATTTCCTCGATCTTCTTTAATGGATGCTTCATTTGAAACTTTTGGAGACTATAAAGTTGCTAAATTCAGAACCATTCCAAAGGTTTTAAATTCTTGTACCAATAAGAAAAACAGTTTTAGGAGTTGTAGTTAACTATAGATAACCCTGTAAATACATGCTGTCCCAAAAGTCACTTTCACCCCTGTAAAGTTCTGCCTGCGACAACCCTGGCTTCCCGCCCCAAATTCAAAGTTTGACGAGTTGGCAGTTCCGACTACCTCAGCCAATATCTTAGCCGAGGGATTCGGAACTACAACGAGTCGTTCTACACACTTGAAGCTATTTGCGCCGCGTCCCGCGTACCCTTCTTTGTAAAATGTGAGTACTTTCAGTTAAAAGCCAACCATTTAGAGTGGTATTTAGGTATTATTTCCTTTACATAGAATGTGGGTTGTGGTGGTCAGCTGGCCACAAAACCATCAAACTTCATCTTTTCTTCTGTTCTCAACTCATGGGTTGGACCACCGTCCATGCGATGGCCTACCCCCCGCGTTTCCCATTTTCTCCCTTTTTGTTTGTTGAGAGTCTCGTCACGGCTCACCCCCTCTAAATTTTACCTAATTATTAATTTGAAACGAAACTTTTTGGATAATCATACATCAATGTTAGCTATTTTTGCCGCCCCCCCCCTCCACCACCACGGGGTCGAGGCTAAGGACTCCGGCATTTTTTTCTCAAATGTCAACCCCATCCCCTTTTTGTGATAACTTTGTGATTCCCCCCGCAAACCGTTATTCAAAATGTTCATTTTTGACAAAATGGCGGCCGGTCAGAGTTCAAAACAAAGAAAATTTGACATCTCCGTCAATCGTTGGGATGCAACTTGGCATCCGATATTTTTTAGGGAGGAGAAAAACGATTCTGGCATTAGTTTTCCGGAAAATTCTGTCCTTTTCATAAAACCAGCGGTTAAAATGGTGACCTAGAGCGGTAGAATATTTAGGCTGCTTATCAGTGGATTTGCAGGAAACTTGGTATCCGAAAGTATTTCGACACGGGGAAAACGATTATTTCGGTGGATTTTTGAAATTTCGAATAACTTCAAAATGACGGCGGAAAAATTGCGGAAACTTGGTATTACGGACGTTTACGGATGGATTTGCATCAAACTCGGGGTACTCTTGATTTCTAGCTTGGAAAAAATGACTCCTTTGCAATACATTTTTGAAATACAAAGTGTCAAAATGGCGGCGGAAAAATGGTGGAAACTTGGTACTACGGACGTTTACTGATGGATTCGCAAGAAACTCGGCCGCCAGTTATTCACAATTTCAAAACTTGAATGAAATATTCGTTTTTTTTTTGTCCCAAAATACCCTCAGTTACCAAGTTTCATGGAAATTCACCGATAGGTAAGTAGCCTACATATCCACATATTCCCGGTCAGGGTCGCTGTTTTGACCGCCGCCATTTTGGAAAGGACTGAATTTTCTGGAGAACTAAGGCATCGTTTCTCTCGTCCGCAGAAGACCTCGAGTTAGGTTGCAGCCAAGTCGCATCCAAATCCGTCAACAAAAACGGAGGTGTGAAATTTCCATTATTTTGAACTTTGACCGGCCGCCATTTTGTCAGAAATCAAGATTTTTAAATCCGGTTAGTGCCAACATTTTTCTTTTTCTACCTGCATTCCACTGATGTGTCACAAA